ACACGGTGCACCTGCTATTCACTTGGACTGAAACAGGAATAAATTTATATTGCTTCTTTTAACTACAACTCCTGAGTTGTAAACAAAAGACGTAATCAGACACGTGATCTCTTCCGTATACTAGGGGGATTGTTATAGAACGTTCCATATGTGAATACATTTATTAAAGCAAATTGAAATCGTACTTCCGATGTGGAGCGAATCCGCACGTATTGCAGCGCATCCCGGAGGGAACAACTAGTCACAAACATTTTTCCTAAACAAGCACTCGAAAACGAGATCGACACACAGGAGAGATGGGAGGAAACGAAATAGTTGGTCATCGTAAAACGAAAATGACCCGGTGATTTTGATACTACTCAGTAAGGTTTTGCACAGACAGCCTTATATAAAGAAGAAATACGGCAATCTTTGATGGTGTTTAATTATTTCCTTGTGTGTGGAAAGCTTTATNTCATACATCGCAGAAAAAAAACCCATAAATTTAAGATCGTGCTGAGTGTTTGGTCACGCGATCAGACTATTTGTTCTGGTAGGTCTTGCAATTTTGCTGGTTTCGTTGATGACAAATATACTGCGTGGATGAAACAGGAATGGTCTTCTCCATGGTATCCAAGTACATTAGACGCTTGAATCACCAACAGTCGCCTTTCACTCTGTTTCAGGTGAACTTGATGATGGCAGTTCGAGTGAGAACGAGGTTTATCAATAAGCTCATATACCGTTAATAAAACTGAGGATGGAATAAAATGCATTTCTTGGTTAATAGAAAAAAACGCAAAGGGACATAAATGGCCTAGGCATTATTCTTCTGTTTATTCTTCTCACCTGGATTTGTAGCCCATTTCATCAATCTGCTTCGTAGTCCTGTCTTCTCTGGGTAACGTTCCCGCGCGACTTGTAGTTAACGTAGAACCTTGAAAAGCAATTATTTGGGAAAATGTGATGAATACTTTGAAAAATCACATTTACATTTTGACCGAAAAAAATAATTTGCGAACGCACTGTGCGATAAACGGTTACTGGTCAACATCGTGATGTCCTGAAAGTCCTGTCGCACGAGTTTGATCAATATGACTGTGGTGCTAAGTGGTCACGTACAGCAAATCAAGTACTGGATTGAAACTGACGGACAAGTACATCAGAGAGACAAGACACTACAGATTATCCACCAGAAACGCATAAAATGGACCTGTCCACCTACAACACGATAAAGAGGAAGAGAACTAGACTTCTAAGATAGCGAGAATTGAGCCTTTGTGAGCGCGTTTTAATATTGCAGGTAAGAAAGACCATGGAAAATGAATTAGTTAAGAGAATGGATGTTTGGAGCACAAATACTCTCAGTAACTGAAAGATAATGTTTTATGACTATCAGAATATTTAGAAATATTAGAGCAGGTTTTCTAACAACATTCTGGATATCCAATCACCTTAACAGAGATCCAAAAGTCAAAAATGCTTTTTTCATTATCTGCCAACGAGGTATGACTTCAGACCCGTTGCTTATCGAATACGGACGCCTGGTCAATGGTTGCTGTTTCAACCGCTAACCTATGGAGAGGGAAAAGTGATTGAAAAAGCAGCTTCACGCAGGGAAGAAACACAGGACTCGAGGTGGCGCAATCCGTCATGGTGATCAATATTGCTCACATTGAGCTGATTAGTGTACTTTTCAGTAACTGATGATTATATTTGTTAACAGCAATGCTCAGTAACGTGTAAATCACATGTGGTAAATTGATTTAGTAAATCACTGTTTATCGTCGTTTTTAATCCCTC